GGGGGGGGGTTGGTGGTCTGGGGGACACAAGGGGGTGTTGGGGGAGACGTGGGGTGGGGAGGGGGCACAAAGGGACACAGCCCCCCCCCCCGCAGCACCCTGACCCCCCCTTTGTGCCCCCCACAGATGGCACAGACAAGACCTCCACCATCTGATGGCGCTGCCCCCCCCTCCCCAAACCGGGGGGGCACCTCCTTAACACCCCCCTCCTCCTGCCACCCCCCCGTGCCCCCCCCGGGGGGGGTCCCCAAAACATCTGGGGTGGGGTGGGGGGGGGTAAAACCCTTCCTCCCCCCTCGACTCCCCCCCCACGGCCAGGGGGGCTCGGGGGGTCCCCGGTGAGGGGGGGGCTCCCCCAGGCCGATGACCTTGCGAGGGGGGGGGGCCATGACACTACAGGGGGGGTTTTTGGGGGGGTTTGTTGCGTTTTCGCCGTTTTAAGGATCCCGGAATTTGGGGGTTTGTGGGTTCATTTTCCCCCTCTTTTATTATTATATTATTATTATTAATATTATTTCTGTTCCAGCCCCCCCGGGGGGTGGCGGGGGCGGGGGGGGGGGCGGCACCCCCCATTTAGGGACAGGCGGGCCCCCCCCCCCCCCCAACCCGGGGTTGGGGGTGCCCCGGGCCCCCCCCCTCGGTACAGCCCCTCCCCCCCCCTTTGTAGCGCCGCGGCCCCGAAATAGAAAAAAATCGTTATTTTAGATACATTTTATTATGAATCCTTTTGTTATGATATGGCTGGTAACCATGAACGTTATTAAACACAAAAAACACCCACAACGGCTGCTTCTTACCCCAGAACGGGGCCGGGGGGGCCCGGGGGGGACGCGCCAGCCCCTCACTCGCTGGAGGAGTCGGAGGCGTCGCTGGGACTCTCCTCGTCTTCCTCCTCCTCCTCCTCTTCTTCCTCGTCCTCCTCCTCCTCGCTGGCGCTGAGCTGGGGGCTCCGTGGGGGTGCCCCCCCCTCGCTGCCTTCCTCCTCCTCCTCTTCCTCCTCCTCCTCCTCGTCGTCGTTGTCGCTGCCGAAAATCTCCTCCTGGTCGCGGGCGGCTCTGGCGGCGTCGCTGCCCCCCCGGCGACCCCCCCGGGCCCCCCCTTCCTCCTCCTCGGCCTCCTCCTCCTCCTCGCTGCGGGCAGAGCCCCCCCCGCGCTCGCTGCCGCTGCCGGAGCCTTCGGCCTCGTCCTCCTCCTCCTCCTCGTCCCCGCTCGCGGCCCCCTCGCTCTCACTGCCCTTCTCACGCTCTTCGTCTGCACGAGGGGGGTTCAGGGGGGTCTCAACGCTCTGCCCAACCCCTCCAGGGCCGGGGGGGTACAGGGGAGCCCCCAAACCCCACCAGGGACCCCCCTGGACCTGATCCCGCCGCCTCCTTCTCGGCCTCCAGCTCTTCCTCCTCCTCCTCCTCGGGCTCGTGGTTCTCCAGCTGTGCCCGCCGAGCCTCCTGGAGGGGGCAGAAAGGGGGGGTCAGGGGGGTTTTGGGGGGAATTGGGGATCGGGGGGTGTGTCAGGGGGAGTCAGGGGACCCCCCCCCCAAATTCCACCTGTGCCTCCAGCTCCTTCTCGTTCATGTCCCGATGCTTCACCACCAGCACCGCGTTGGTGCCCGACTGGACCCCGGCGCGCGCCCGGCGCTTGCTCAGCCGGACCCTGGGGGGGCACGGGGGGGTCAGGGGGGCCCAGGGACCCCCCTGGGGCACCCCAAACCTACAGAGACCCCAAAGGACCCCCAGGGACCACCCCAGATCCCTCTGAACGCCCAACCAGTGCTGATCTGCGGGCGTCTTCCAGTCCCTCCCAGTGCCCCCAGTCCCCTCCCAGTGCCCACCCAGTCCCCTCCCAGTCCCTCCCAGTGCCCCCCAGTTCCCTCCCAGTCCCCCCAGTCCCACCTGGTCTCCAGTTCGTTGTAATAAACCCCGTCCCCCTCGCGGAAGATGAAGAAATAATTCTCCTCGTAGCCTTTGCTCGCCTTGTTCTTCACGTTCCAGTTGTACTCCCGGGCGATCTTGTAGTCGTAGCTTGGGGGGGAGCACAAGAGGGGGTTGGGGGGAGCCGAGGAGAGCCCCCCAAACCGCCCCCCCCATTTCCACACCAGAGTCCCCAAAGTCTCCTGGGGTCTGTCAAGGTCTTGCTCCATTTCTCCCCCGCCATTTCGTCTATAAAAGGGCCCCCCTGGTTTCCTGGGCCCCTCCCCCAGGTTTTGGGACACCCCTCCCCCAGGTTTTGGGGGCCCCCCTTACACGTCCTCAGGGGCGTAATCCACGTCCTCCTCCTGGTCCCTCTTCCTCTTCCTCAGCGTCTCCTCCACGGGCAGGAAATAGGCCACGAACTGGTTCCCCTCCTCGTCCATCATCCCCCTGGGGGGCAGGGGGTTTAAGGGGGGCTCGGGGGGTTCGGGGGGTTTGGGGGGGCTCAGGGACCCCCCAGCACCTGATCATGGCCTGGGACATCATCTCCAGGGCCGCGGCCCCCGACGTGTCCTTGGGCGCCGGGTCCGAGTCGAAGATCACTTGGGCACAGGGGTTGATCCACATCTGGGGGGGGAAATCGGGGGGTGAGAGGGGGATTTTGGGGTGAGGGGGAGTAAATAAGGGAGGGGGAGCACAACTGGGAGGAAAACTGGGGGTGAGGGGGAAATGGGGGGTTTGGGGAGGCAAAATCCCACCCCTGGGGTCCCCAGTGTGTCCCACCCCCCAAATCCCCCCCTCACCTTGAAGTCGGGGAACACGGGCATCACCTCCATGGGGGTCACCCGGGGTTTGCTGTAGTGCTGTGTGATCTGGGGGGGCACAGGCGGCCTCAGTGCCCCCTGAGCCCCCCAAACCACCCCCCTGACCCCCCTGATCCCCCCTCACCGCCTTCTGCGCGTCCTCGAAGGTTTTCTCGATGGCGGCGATTTGGGAGTCTCGGTCCTTGTAAATCTCCTCCTCGGTGAACTGCTGCTTCACTGACACCCCGATCCTTGGGGGGGCCCGGGGGGGTCAGGGGGGGTCCTGGGCGCCCCCAGGGACCCCCGCAAAGCCCCCCAGGGACTCACTTGACCTCGGGTTTCTCGTTGGAGACGCCGTAGCGGTTGAACTCGGTGGAGATGTACTCGGTCTTGCGCATCCAGGGCACCACCTTGGCATGTTGTTGGGATCTGGGGGGAAGGGGGGATTTGGGGGACATTGGGGACCCCCAAATCCCCCCCGAGCCTCCCCAAACCATTTGTGAGCAGCTGGACCTGTGCCCGGTGAGAAACCCCCCAAAACCCCCCGTGTGACCAACTGGACCTATGTCTGGTGAGAGACCCCAAACCACCCCAAAAATCCCCCCAAGGCCCCCCAAAGCCCCTTGGGGGGTCCCTGGGGGTCCCGGGCACCTCTTGGAGCTCGTGGGGGCCTGAATTTCCTCCTCCAGCAGCTTCTCGTCCGCCGGGTCCAGCAGCACTTTGGGGGGGAAAGGGGGGGGGTTTGGCTCCAAAAACCCCCTAATTCCGGGGTCTCCCCCCAGTTCTGGGGTCCCCTCAGAGCCCTGATTTTGGGGCTGTCCCCCTGTTTCAGGGCTGTCCCCCCGTCTCTGGGCTCTCACCACCAGGGTCGATGCGGTAGGTGTCGGGGTTGATGAGGTCGATGGTCACCCCCAAATCTGGCTCTGTCAGCAGGTCGTGTTTGTGCTGCTTCTCCAGGGACGTGGCCTTGTACTGCACGAACCTGGGGGGGAGACCCCAAATCGCCCCAAAACAACACCAAAATCACCCCAAAACACCAAAATCACCCCAACTCTACCGCAAAAGTACCCCCC